ACAAATGTATCAATCACCTTTGTGTGAAAATTAATATTAATATATATATTTTTTTTTCGAAACGATAAATTTTATAAATAAACACATAAATACAAGTAGAAAAAAAGCCAAACAGCTATCTAAGCTGAATCTAGCCGAATCTAACAGAAAAAATAAAAATCAATATCAATAGTTGATTTTTATCCAAGTATATCTTACCTTTCGGCTCACCGTTTTGCGGACGATCAGCAACGAGCAGCCTGATTTCTTTGGCGCCCGGATCCGATCGACCCGACTGCTCGGCGGCACTGAAATCTGTGCCGCCGAACACGTGAAGTCCGCTCCCCGCGGCGGCGGCGCCTTCGGACAGTGGCGACGCGCTCGAGCTCCACACGAACATGTGAAGCTCTTTCGCGTCATGACTACTATTGTGATGAGCCGCCTTTCCTGAATAATGCTGCTGGACTTGCATTTTCCCGGACGAGTTGTCCTCGTAATTGGATGGCCGCGGAGTGGGCCCCCTCGACGACGACTGTACCGAATACACATCCGTAGCCACGTTGAAATTGGAAAGCCTCCCAGTGTCGGAGTTTCCGAAATTGGAAAGTCGCCCCCCCATCCCCATCATGGAGTAGAAATCCGAGTGGTTAAAATTCGATCCCCTTGGAGTGGGGTTCCTCGACGAGCTGAGACTATAGATCTCAGCTCCGGTGAGGTTCGACGGCCGGCCGGAGAAAGAGCGGCGAGAGGCATTCGATTTTCGAACCGTGACGTGCAGCTTCCCGTCATCCCCAATCTGCGTGTCCGTCTCCAGAAAGTCCTGCCCGTCTAAGGAGACGACGTCAGAGTCGACTTTAAAGGCGACGATCGAAGCAGCGGTGTCCGGGAACTGGTCACATATGAGGGTTTTCGCGGCGCGAAACTCGAAGAGGAAGAGGAGGAGAGTGTACCATATAATGCACTGGAGGACGACTACTTGGACCATGAGGCTTCCGGAATATTCTCCGTACATGGCTATGAGGAGTGGGATTCCCATCACGAGTGTGTTTGGTAGAGTGGAGAGTGAGAAGATTGTGATGGACCACTCGAGGCTTCCGGCGCGGCTGAGGTTGGCCCAGAGAGAGAGGACGGCGAGCATGATGATTTTCTGGAGGGTGTCGGCGGCTATGAAGCGGAAGTTCATAGTGTAGATGTTGTTTTGGGAGATGAAGTGGAAGGAGAGGAGAGGGACGGCGAAGACGGCCACGAAGCGGTTGATGCCGGAGCACTGGTCGGGAGTGAAGATCTTCCACCAGCGGACGGAGCCGTACGCGAGAATCATGGCCACGTAGAGGGGGATCACGGCTGTCAGGACGACGTACAGGTCGTGCCAGGTAATCATTTTCTTTTTTTTTTGTTCT